AAAATTTTTTTACAGAGCAGATGCCAGTATTATTTGACGATGTCTTCGACCAAGTGTGTAAAAATTTCATCCCGCTGCCACCACCAGTTTCACCAATTCAATCAGATGGTCCTTTATGGTGGCTCTTTGATAAAGAGGACGATGAAAACGACGACAAATAACCTCATAAAATTCGAACAACAAAAAGAAAAATTAGAAGTGCCAGCAATAAAAGAAGATGTCCCTTTAATGCCACTCACAATAGAAGTAAAGGATGGAGCTGTACAAGCAACCACTGCTACCTTCTCCATCATCAACACCACCATTACCACCAGCTCCAACACTGCCATCACCATTTAAAGAATCATTGCCACTACCACTATCACCAACACTACCACCAACATCATCGCATCAGCAGCAGCAGCAGCAGCAGCAGCAGTCACCATTGTCAATTCAACCGCTGCCAGAGAATATTGAAGAATGGACAGAAGATAATAAAAAAGAACTGGATTTGAAAGTCCAAATCTTGCTAAAGCAGCAGGAGTTAAAAATAAGGGCAGGTGAAATTATAAAAATGATGAAAGTTCGGTTGAAAATAATCGAAAATAATCGGAAAAAGTTAGAAGAAAAAGAGAAGCGTCAAGCTTCCCAGCTGAAAAAAAATCAATTGAATTAAAAGAAAAGAAAAGAAAAAGAGAAAATGAAAAAAATGAAGAAAAAAAATGTCAATGTAAAAAAAAATTCATAGTAGTTGAATAATGAACATTACATTTGTAATTTTGTAAGAATATAACTGTTATATTAAATGTTATTAATATCATTTAATTTTTTTTAATATTCAGTCTTTTACTGTAACATAATGTTAAACTTCTTTTTAGATAAGAAAAAAAACATTTAAAATTAAAGTTTTACCGCAATAATTAATTAACTTTTTGTTTGATGTTAATACCTTTCTTATAACTATAATATTATCATACCTGTAATACTGACTTCTTGTAAGATATTTACCACCACTCCAAGTCATCTCTTTATCTCATTCACACACATACATACGTGCTTCCCACCCTTATTTAAATATGCTCTTTGCTAAGCTCTGAAGGTATTTAAAGGAGTTTACGTTGACAGAGCAGTTCATTTTAACCCAATGACTTGATTATTAAGCTTCCTCCTGCAAGAAGTCATGGCTACTGTACAGCATTTCAAGGATTTGGCTACCTGCCTGTGGCAATTATACCAACAAGTTGTCGAAAGTAAAGTCAACTCTGCTCAAATTCGAAGACTGTTAGATTGTAGTCTTGTAACATTGAAGGATGCTGATACTTTTAGTAAAAGTTGCAAGTTAACAACCTCTGAAAAAAAAATTTCAGGCAGCTGTGGCTTCACTCAAAACTACCGTACAATTTCTTTATGACCATTTGGAAATAGTAGAGGTGGAGAGAATATTTATAGATGAACCTTACGTTTTTATGGCAGACAGTCAGCAAGAAGTGACAGCAGCAGTCAAGGCATTCGAAAATGAACCTGCAATTTTTATACCAGAAAGTATACAAAAAGCAGGCCTTGCAATAAGCGTTCAAGGTAAAGGTGTGACAGAAACGGGCCCTACACAAGCATTTAAGATGAAGGTATGATAGAAGCGACAGCAGCTCCCGTTCTTCCGGATGATAGATCAGTACATTTAAATGACGTTAATAGTGCATTTAAAAAACGCATTACGACAGCTTTGATCGTAAATTTAAAACACCTAGATCTGAAAAAGTTTTTAAAAGACGCTAAACATAAGTTAATAAAACGGATTTATCGATCTCTTAGTGAATATGAAGCGTTTAAAGTAAATACAGTGTTGGCAGCTGAATATATAAAAGTTAAAGATAATTTTAAAAATTTAGATTTAAAATACTTATACCCAAAATCACAAGCTATATTCCAGACAACAGACTTAAATGAGTGGTTTGATGTGAATATGCAACAGCCAATAGAAAAAAAAAATTAATGATTTTAGCGACAAAGAATCAGGCTGGTCTTTGCTTTCAATTTTTAATTTAGTTGTAAATATTAATAAACTAAATTCTATGCGAGGTAGTTCTTTTATTGATTTGCCAGGTTACATAAAAACCAAAAATTCTTGTGTAAATGTAGTGGACAGAGACGTTCAGTGTTTTAAATGGGCTATTCTGTCAGCAATACATCCAACCAAAAAAAATCCAAATCGGGTCTCGAACTATGTTCAGTACAAAAACGAGTTAAACTTTGATGGAATTGATTTTTCTGTTCTTGTGAAGGTGTGTACCTTTACGATTATACATCTTCTTTTCAAATCTTAAGGAACGTAGGCTGCCATCAAAAGAAAGTTTCTACAGCAGCTTACTCGAAGCCCATATCAGTGATGAAGAATATGAACATGCTATGAATACTTGGAATATTTTTAACATACAAACATTTGGGCAGTATTCCGACTTATATTTAAAGACAGATGTATTGTTACTAGTTAAAATATTTGAAAACTTTAGAAATAATTGTCTTGAGGCATATCATTTAGATCCAGCTCATTATCACACAATGCCTGGCCTAACATGGGACGCGATGTTGGAATTTACGAATGTGAGTAATATGTGCAAAGTATTAAGATCGTTACACATATATAATTTATATAAATAAAATTATAATTACAGGTCAAATTGAAACTGTTGACTGACATAGATAGGGTNTATATAAATAAAGTTATAATCACAGGTAAAATTAGAACTGTTGACTGACATAGATATGGTTATGTATATCAAGCGTGGAATTCGTGGTGGTATAAGCCAATGTTGCAATCGGTATGCCAAGGCCAATAATTCATACATGAAAGAAGGCTATGAAGCTAATAAAAGTGATAAATATTTGATGTATTATGATGTTAATAATTTGTATGAGTGGGCTATGACCAAACCATTGCCTTATGGAGGCTTTAAATGGATTCAAAATGTTAGTCCAGTTGGTATTTTGAACGTGGCAGATAATGGAGAAATAGGTTACATACTTGAAGTGGACCTTGAATATCTTAAGACTCTTCACGATGCCCATAAGGATTTACCTTTCTGTGCTGAGCACATCGCACCTCCAGCATCCAAGCAAAAAAAATTGATGACTACACTATACGATAAACAACGATATGTGATCCACTATCGCGCGCTCAAACAAGCCGTTAGCCATGGTATTCGCATAAAAAAAATTCATAGAGTTTTACAGTTCAATCAAAGTCCGTGGTTAAAGGAACATATAGACTTTAACAGTGAAAAGCGTAAGAATGCAACGAATGACTTTTCGAAAATGTTATATAAATTATTTAATAATGCTGTGTATAAAAAAACGATGGAGAATGAGCGCAAACGTATTGATGTCAAGCTTATTAATAAATGGGAAGGACGTTACGGTGCTGAGAGTTATATCGCTCGACCAAATTTCCACAGCTATGACATATTTGATGAGCAGTTAGTGGCTATACAATTATTACGCACTGAAATCACCATCAAAAAGCTAATATATGTTGGCTTGAGTGTCTTGGATCTATCTAAGACACTTGTATATCAATTTCATTATGACTTTATGAAAAGTCAAATGGCAGATCAATGCAAACTTTTATACACAGACACCGACAGTCTTCTGTATAAAATATTAAATAACAATATCTACAATGTGATGCGTGAAAATATCATAGAATTCGACACATGGGACTATCCTATCAATAGTAATTTTAACATGCCTTATAGTAATAAAAAAATTGTTGGCCTTATGAAGGATGAGTGCAATGGAAAAGTCATGTTGGAATTCATAGGATTGAGGAGCAAAATGTATAGTGTAAGGATTCAAGACCAAAAGCCATTGAAGAAAGCTAAGGGTGTCAAGAAATCAGTAGTAAATGCTATGATTGACTTTGATGATTACATCAAGTGCTTATGCGAAAATTCTAGTATGACTCGAGAGCAAAAAAGTATCAGGTCATGACATCATCAGCTCTTTACTGAAAAAGAAGCAAAAATTGCGCTCAGTGCGCATGATGAAAAACGCTGTTTTCAATCTGGTTCTACTGACACCCTACTATAGGGTCATTACAGCATAATGGAGAGGGGATTAGTAAGCCAAGGTAAAGAGCTAGAAGGAGGAAAGACAGCTAATCTGATCGAAAATAAAGAAGTAGGGATTGAAACAGCAAATCAGGATAAAGAAACAGAAAGAGAAAAGACTGCTCATTGAAAGCCATCCAAAATAGAGGGGAAAGTTGCAGTGGAGAAGCAAATCACAGTGGAGGGGCTAGCTCCATATAACGAAGTGTCACAGTCAGCAGAGCTCATTGTACTACAAGCCAGAGATTCAAATAGGACAGGACTGAAAAGACAACAAGAGCCCCTATCGCCATCAGTAGTCATTTCTGACAACGTTACACTAAGTAAAAAGCCTAGACTTCACGCAGGTTAGCATAATTTTTTTTAATTTCTTTTTTTAAAGAAAAAAGAAAAAGAAAAAAAAACAATTGTTGCAGATGGATCTTGCACAACTCAATAACATCGCTAACAAAGGTTTTCTGCCGAAGAAAAAATTTTCGACATGATTCCACACAAGAAATATATGGTGACCAAACTGAGGAAGGTCAACACTAGATTTGGGCCAACAGTAGTAGCTGGGTTGACTGACGATTTTCAAATATTTTTACCGTTTAAAATGTGCATAGCTCTGTATGATAATGATGACTTTTATAACGAACTGCTGCATGCTGTTAATAAGTTTAGATTATATTTAATGTACAATAAAAAACATGTTGTATTTTCTTATGATTAAGAATAAGTAAATAAAATGACAATTCCTCTCAAATTTGAAGTATTTATTTCTCGAATACACTTCCTGTTACAGTTATAACGATTTTTTCTTAATATTATATTTAATTTAATATNTCTTTATTAATTGAAAAAGTTTTATTTTAATAATTTATTTGATCAATTATATAAAAATATTTTTTTACTTGCTATGGAAAAAAGATTTTTTCATAATTTACGCTTATCAATCCCACTATTGTAAGTGTTGTTGAAACCCAACCACTTTACAAGAACTTGCTGTCCACGTCTTCGAAGAACTTTCCCCACCAGGTAAATATCAGGATTTTTTGTTTCTTGCAGTTCCTGCTCATAAAAACCTCCGGAGATAGGTTGATCTCGATAATCTTTGAGACGATACGTAGCTGGATTTGTTCCTGCTACATTAGCAATTGTAAATAATTCTGTCTACCAGTTAGTAGTATAGCCTTTTTCGAATACTTGTTTTATTTTGCTCATGCGTACTTTATCACCAACTTTGAATTTTGGTTTTGGTTTGCTGCTACGTTTGCATCTTTTTTTAAATTTTAACAGGACTCGAATTTCGTTTTTAGTAGTAACATCTTTTGATTTCATACCAATTGTTTGATGTTTTCTATTATTACATAATTCGATCATCGTTTGTAAAACATCAAACCATTTGTAATTGCCTTGTGAGCTAAATTGTTTCCACAAAAGGTCTTTTAAAGTACGATTGAATCGTTCGCATTTAGATGCTTTGAGGTTGCTGTAAGTTAAGTATAAGTTTATTTTATATTTTCGCATAAGATTTTGAAACTTAAAATTGTAGAATTCCTTGCCGTGGTCAGTTTGCAAGTTTACTGGCACCCTTCCGTCCTTTAATATAGACTGCATCGCTGTTGACACTTTTTCACCTGTTTTTTTCTTTATCGGTACAGCCCATGCATACTTTGAAAAAACATCTATTACAGTAAGTATATACCTATGACCTTGGTTTTTACTAGCGTAAGGCTGCATCTCGACAAGGACCGCTTGCCAAGTCTCATCTAAGCCACGCACGTCAAATTTTTGACGAGGATAATTACGTCTGAAGGCCTTGTGAAGTTCTTCGACAACTCGTTCCATGTGTTAAATGTCTAAATTTATTTTTGTTGAATCAGCTTGAATAAATGGGAATTTTTTTTGTAAATGATATATGAAAATTCGAATGCCATCTATTTCTTTGCAATACTTATAATTTTTTCAGTTAAGTAAGCACGATTGACAGCATCTCGAGGTTGTTTTGGTGCTGCAACATTGCACAATCTTTTATTATCTAAGTCATACTGTCCATCTGCAGTAAGTTTGTATCTAACCCCAGGAGGACCATGGGTACTGCCTTTACTCCTACCTAGTTTACGACCAAATACATCAACACTCATTGTGATACTGAAACAGAATGACTGCTCACCTTAATATATATACCCTGCCTCACGTAGCTCTTCAATAATTGATATTATTTCATTGTCATGACATAGATTTCCTGCCGATCTTTCAGCTGTGAGTAATCGTAAGCGATCCACAAGTTCGTTGGGATTGTCCCAGTGCACGTAATCTACATGATGTGTTTTTCGGGGGATTTTGTATTGTGGTAATAATGATCCTCCAGTTTTACTTGGAACGCCATCGAACATAGGAGCAATAATTTTATTAAATTTTACGACGGTTATGTTGCCTAATAGGTTCATTTTTATCAAATCCTCTTTTATGAACACTCGAAATTCTTGAAAGCATATAATATTTTTGCATATCCTTTTCCGTTGTAAGATTTGTATTTGGGTGTTTTTTTGTGAGTAGCTCCATTAATCCATCAGTCATTGGAAATTCGAGTTTGTCCATTGTAATTTATTATTTTCAAAATATATTGGTAAATTCACAAGTTTATATGTTCTTTTTTCTTTTCGTACCCCATACATCAAATCCAATAACTTTTTTTGATCATTATCAAGCATTTGCAAGTATGAGCTTCTCGATAAGTTTTCATTGATTTCAACATTATTAGACATATATTGAATAGTTTTATTCATTTCATCAGTATCTTTATTCATATTATCATCACTTTCACTGGCAGCAGACTCGAACACTGTGCTATTATCATCGTTGGGTGGTTCTCTAGTTTTTGCTTTAACATTTTTATTTTTATCGTTATTTAAGTAGTTATAGATTACAGATGAATTTATTTCATTTTTCTTGGTTGTAGTAACAATTTCCTGTAAAAGATCTGTTATTGGTTTAAAAGTTTCACTTAGGACTTTTTCAACTTCATCTTCTCCCAACTTTAACTGTCTGTACTTTTTATCACGGCCACTCTTGCCTTTACTAATTGATTAAGTACGTCTTTTTCTCCTTCATACATGTTGATGCTTTATTAGCTTTCGTTGGACTACAAATTTTTGCTATGTATCTCTTATATTTACAGAAAAATTCTCAAAACCTTTTCTATATCGACCATTTTTTATCTGTACATCCTTGTTTATAACAACAAATTCATACCGATCATTATTCCAACAGCTAAAGCATAACTCTTTAAATTTAGTATATGGCATAGCTGAATTTACATGATCATTATACACATGTCTCAAATTAACTTCATCCTGACGAAATAAAGCTAAAAAATTTACGTTATCTCTCACAAGATGTTTTGGTACTTGAGCATATGACTGACAAAGATGGAAACAGTCTACATTTTTATGTCTTCCTATGCAGAAAAAGGCTTTCACAATATCTTGTTTTTTACAAGCTATATCATCGAAAATAATAATAGAATTTGGTAAGACATTATCTAGTGAGACTACTGCTTTGCGCTCAGTGAAAGGTAAGTACTTCACACCATCAATAGGTTCTAATAGCTCTTTTAAAAATTTGTATTTGGGTTGATTCAATGACTTTAAATATACGTATATATTTTTGAATTTCAGTCCGTTAGGATGCACTATTAATGCTAATAAGCTATTGGTTTTACCGTAAGATGGACCACAAAATACAGCACGAATACTATCTGGAAGGAGCTCACCATGTCGATTTACAAGCTTTTCTTGTTTTACAATAGCATCAAAATTTGGAACTTGCAATGTTACAGACTGTTCTTTAAATTTCATGCCTGTACTGTATAACGTAAAAGTTACAACTGAACTGTGAGATAAAATGATACAGCCTTTTATACTCTTGCATTTTTATGTTATACTATGGCTACATTGCAACTGATCTGATGAGTATGAGAATACATATTTTGTTCGCAATACTCTGTCACAACCCAATCTTCAAAGTGAAATGATCATACTTTGTAAGCGAAGATATGGTCTTGTAAATAAAATCATAAATTCTTTACCTTTAGAAACTCATTTACCAGGTTATCAGTACTGTGGTCCATGTACTATACTTACGGATTGCCTTGCTAGAGTAGATCTTGGAGTGAATCCTCTGGATACGGCGTGCAAAGAGCATGATATAGTTTATTCGAAAAATCGATACGATCTTAAGACTAGAAACAAAGCAGATAAAATTTTAGCTGAGTGAGCTTGGCAAAGAGTTAAGGCTTCAGATTCGAGTATTGGTGAAAAAACAGCTGCTGTTCTGGTAACAGGTGCAATGAAGCTTAAGAGTAAATCAGGTATGGGTTTGGAACAGAAAAAAAAAAGAAAAGAGGTTAAAAAAAGAAATGCTGTTTAAAAAAGAAACTAAGAACTACTATGAACACAGTTATTAAGGCTGCCTCGCATCAAATGAAGACTAAGAGCAAAAATGCTTGTAAAGTAATCAGTAGTGCTTTAAAAGGTGCTCGCAATGTAGTTAAAATGTGTGGTGATAAAAAAAGTACTAAAATTCCTCGTATTTTACGCGGTTCTGCTCAAATTGGTGGAGCTTTACCTCTGATTCCTTTATTTGCGAGCTTGAGTGTAACTGGCGCTTTGGCAAATGGTATTACAGGAATTACGAAGAGCGTTAACGTGGCTAAGTCTGCAAAAAAAACTAGAAGAAAATCAAAGTCATACTAAAAAGCTATTGCGTTAGAAGAAGGTCTCTATTTTAAGCCTTTAAAACTGGATTGAAAGTATATTTAAAACCATTTGGTAAAGGTCTAAAAAGAAAAAAAGTCTTAAAAAGTAAAATTACCTTTAAGAGCTTTAACAAATGTAGATTTAATAAAATTCTCTAAGAATTTAAGAATTTTTTTTTTTCGTGGAGTATTTATGCGAAATGACTAACCCAGTGATGGGCCATGGTATTGTAAAACTGCTATAGTAAATCTTGACGACAAGAATGGACCTGGAACTTACTGGGTGGCGTATCGAAAATATGGCCAGAATGTTGTTTATCATGACAGTTTTGGAGATTTGCAGCCACCTATTGATTTAATGTTGTATTGGGGTGTTGATACAGTTCAGTATAATCACAAACTATATCAAAAATTTGATTCTTACAACTGCGGTCATTTGTGCTGAAAGTTTCTGTCAAAACATATATAAGCACTTAAAATAGTAAAAAAAATTTCAGTTTTACATTGACGGTTATGAAAGAAACATTAACACTTAGTTTGTCTGGTACTTCTTCTACCCTAGAGGCGCAACATTTTCCACCTATTGAATTATCACCAAAACACAAATATGTTTTTGGTTTAGTAGAACTCCCAACGTTTAATTCAATTCCTAATATTGACTTTAATAACAATAAATTTTATGTGGGTGATCAAGTTGTAGTTATTTCAACTGGCAGTTATAAAATTGAAGATATTCAGTCATTTTTAGTCAATGTGTTACAACCAAAAGATATAAATATCAGTATCAAGCCAAATAATAAAACGCTTCGTAGTGTTGTTAGGAGTAGTCACACTGTTGATTTCAGTTCAAAAGCTTATATTTATAATCACATTTATAATTACAAAAAGTATATAAACAGCTTGACATGTACTTCTGTGCTCAGTCAACGGCAAGCTTTTAAATCGTCGAGACGTCAGAAAGGACAACTGAAGCATCAAAAATTGACCAATCAAATCATACAGTTTCTTAAAAGTCTTGGCTTAAAAATCAAAGGTGTAAACTAACGTTCAAATTGTAACCTTGAAGGTGGATGACATTTTAAGAATTCAGTCCCCCGTTGCGTTTGATAAGTCTATCGCACACTATAAAATTCATGCTCATCAACCATATGCATCATCAACATATAATAATAGTGATGAAATTCGTATATCGATTCAACATCAAGACCTATGCCTGCCACCATCCCGCAGTTCTTTACATATTCATGGAAGGGTAGTCAAAGCAAATGGTACTACGACGGCTGCGAATACTAAATTAGTAAACAATGCTATCCTTCATCTATTTGGAGAAATAAGATTTGAGATTAACGCTATAGAGATAGATAAGTGTAAAAATGTAGGTTCGACAACTCTCATTAAAAACTGGCTAACGCTCAATCCTGATCAAGACGTATTAACTGAATATGCTGGTTGGCTTGGTACTTCAAGTGAACTTAAGCTAACAAATAATACTGGCTACTTTGATCTTTTGATTCCTCTCAGTATGATTTTTGTTTTTGCTGAAGACTATCATAAAATAGTTGTTAATGTGAAGCATGAACTTATACTCACAAGATCTAGAAATGATTTGAATGCAGTTTTACAAAGTAAAATTCCTGCTGCAGAACCTAAAGGAGTGGCAACTTGGGAAGATTTCAAGATATTAATATTAAAACTAGAGTGGCTTATGCTTACGTTGTAATGTCGGATGCACATATAATTCGTCTACTTAATTATTTGCAAAAAGATAAATTTGTATCTATGAGCTATCGAACTTAGGAACTTTATGAATATCCACTTTTACCTACTACATCGAAACATATATGGACGGTCAAGACGTCCAATCAGTTGGAAAAGCCACGATATGTTATACTAGCCTTTCAGACAAATCGTCAAAATCAGAGAAGTATTAGTGCTAGCCAGTTTGATCATTGTAATGTGAGAAATGTAAAACTGTATTTAAATTCACAATATTATCCTTATGGGGATCTCAATATCAATTTAAAAAACAATTATTTTGCATTGTTATATGACATGTATGCAAACTTCCAAAATTCATATAATGGTAAAG